ATTGTAAAACATAATTTATTAACATTAGCTCAATGCTAGGTCTCACAGAAGGGGAAAATGGTCTTGTTTTAAAACAAAGCTGAAGCCAAAGAGATGGAAGGTATCTGCATTCACATTCTTACATCCACACGCTCTCAGGCACCAAGATGTGTGTGTCCAGGTGGTGGTTCCAAGACTTATGCGCAGAGATGCACATATCCAGATAGTCTCTCCAGGATCCCTTGCAGTGGGAGGACGAGGGATGCTGGCTGTCGAGTCCTTATGTCTCCTGTTTTCTTGCTAGGTTGACAGCCATGTGCTGGTCTTGGGTCAGCCTTTTCTTCAACCTTTAGCAGTTGACATCTTTTTTCTCTACTCTGTCTCACCTCTCTGAGTCATCAAGATTTACTCACTGTCCTTTGTGTCCTGACCTAGATGTCCTTAGAAACTCTGTAGATATGCTGGTACCTGGATGACCTGCTAATCTAGGTGCCATTTGTAAAGCTCTCCTGCTTTTTTTTCCTTCTGATGCTTCCCCATGCAGATATTCCAATTCATAACCATCTTCCCATTTCCATGACAGGTCTCCCCTTAGCCTTCTCCAGGCTAAACAACCCCAGTTCCCTCAACTGCTTCTCACAGGACTTGTGCTCTAGGCCCTTCACCAGCTTCATTGCCCTTCTCTGGACCCGCCCCAGCACCTCAATGTCTTTTTGGGGTGAGGAGCCCAAAACTGAACACAGGATTTGAGATGTGGCCCTGCCAGTGACAAGTACAGGGGGACAATCCCTTCCCTACTCCTGCGGGCCACACTGTTCCTGATGCAGGCCAGGATGCCATTGGCTGCCTTGGCCACCTGGGCACACCGCTGGCTCATTTTCAGCTGCCTGTCTGCCAGGAAAAGGGCATGTCCATTTGTCAATCCAAAGTTACAAGTTTTCAGCCAGGAACAAACAAATTTGAAAATGGAGCAGATGTCTCAAAGACTGTCGCCATATTAAAGGTGTTAAAAGTGCATCTTAGCTCTCGCATCTGGGTGAGGGTCCTTGTTATGTCCCATCTACACATTAACATGAATGTACCATTTATCTCTATCCTTCCTCAGGCAAGGGCACCTGAACGCAGAGATTAGGACAAAATGGGGTGAGTTCTAGCCAGGTCTGTTGTTTCGATAGTAGTACCAGGTGTACCATGGAGCAGTTTAGCTGCAGTGAACAGGAATTATTCTTGTGAAAAGAAAATGTACAGACAAGAGGTATTAAAACTAGTCCTCCCAAGGAAGGCAAACCCAGCAGTATTTGTCAATTATTTATTCTGTGTGTCAGTAACCGCAGTAGGCTAGCATATGTCTGGTGCTCATACGTGGGTATGAGTTGGTCAATCGGTGCTGCTTCAGCCTCAGTGTCACACCTGGTATTTTTTCACCAGTAAGTAGAGGTCATGGTAGGGGACTGGATTAGTATGGTGGTGCCAGTGTCCCTGCTCACACAACAAAGAACAGGCATTCAACAAAACCAGGCTTCATCAATTCTGCTGCTTACACACAGTCTATTTATTTTTTAAAGTTTTCCTTTTACATTAATCAGTCTACAGTTCAGATAGGTCTCAGACATGCATTGTTCTGTGTAGATAGGAATATTTTATGTTTTATGAAATACCTTCTGTAGCTGAAGTTCGTGAATGTTCTACTTGGAAAAGACTGGCTGCTAAATTAAAGTGTTTTATTAGTAAATGAAAAATATTTTAAGGTCACTTTCTGAAAGTTCTAAAGCATTCTTTTCATTTTTAGATTTCAGAAAGCCTTTGGATACCATTAACAGTTTTTTCATGAAATGTGTACAGTGTGTTCTGTTTAGGGCAAAAGAAAAATTAGAAAAGTACCTTAGGGGAGGGAATGCAGCAGCAGCCGACCTCTTGTACTTCTGTCCTATGTGTTCCTATAAAGCTCCTGTGTGTCAAGGACAGGAGATTATGCATGGTAGCACATCTTAGTTAACTTCAGTTTACATGACGTTTGTTTGAAATCTTGCCTGAAAACTGTCATACTTAAAACACTGGTTTTAACACAGCAGAGGGATCAGGTCTGTTTTTTCTGCCACCAAAATGGTAGTAAACGAAACCGTGCCTTTTTACAGCTGTGGCTGAAGAGATACAGCCCCCAAAAGATGATAAAGGATATTTTATTTCTATGGCAGCTGCCTCTCAGCAACGTACTTAATGTATAAACCCAGCTTATAGGTTGTTTGTTTTGATGTTGTGTTTCCAAGCTGATGGGTTACCAATACTGCTTCTGAAGGGCATTGGTAAGCATTTTTTAATACAAAAAAAGAAGGTTGTTCTCATGTGACTGAATGTACCTTACTAAAATTGAAACATGCACGCGTAAACTGAGATTTTCACAAAATGACTGTCTTCCCAACAGTTATTTCTGCCTGCCTGCCTACAGTAGCTCAGTCAATTTACTTAGCAGCTAGGCAGAGAGAATGAGCACGTAACTGATGTGCAGTTTTCAGAGTTTCTTCTCTTTTTGTTTCAGGTTGCAACAGCAAATCTTGCATGGGCTTCAGTAGCAATACATCAAGTACAAGTAAGTGTGGGCGGTTCTTCATTTTTTGCACTGTGTAATCCTTCTGCCAGAACTTGGTTAGTTAGAACATGGATTATGATCAAGTTTAAGTGGAGGTCACTACTGAAACATTGATTCAAGCGCCTTCCCTGAGGGAAAAGTATGCTAACATTTTTGGTATTCATTGAGCTAGTTTTACTCGCTTGCAACTGTAGATCAAATAACAAATAGTATTTTTACTGATGGAAATGAATGAAACTTTAACAAAGTAGATAAATAATTGTTAAATCAGAATTATAAAACTTTGCTTTTTTTTTTCTTGTAAGAAGGCCACTGCTAGGCCAAGTAGCTGCTTTCCTCCTGCTTTGATATTCAGTTTCAGATTATTAGTTGTTGCTGGCTAAGCCTACTTTGAGCCATCATTGCTAGCTGCTTCATGGTCCTGTAGCTACTCCCACTAAGGGTGCTTAACGCTGTCCCTAGTTGGGTGCCTAACGAAGCTCCACTCAGTGCAAGCTGCTCTAGCAAAACCCATCAGCTTTCCTAATGTTTTTTTTCACTTCAGGTAATAGAGTGTGGAAACACTGAAACTTAACATACTCCGTCAACTCACAGAGACACTGAAATAGGTTCCTCTGTCAACTCACAGGAGGAAGTTTGTGACATTCGGGTTTTTTTCAAGGTGTCTTTCATACACTTGGCAGAAGACTCCCACAAAGATTCCTGCTTTTCTAGACTCTATTTGTCACCCTGCTGCTGGAAGTCACTGACATTGTTTGGGATGGTCATTCACCCTGGCACATTCAGGCAGAATTAGCTGCCGTAGGCTACAGTACGCTAGTAGAATTGCATTTGCATGCAGTTGTAGCTTCAGTTTGTAACAATGACTCCTCTTTAACTGAGAAGTCTTTCACACCTAACAAAACAAAGTATGGAAAGTTTAGTTTAAGCATGTCCATTGGTCCTTGTCATTTCCCTCCCTTCTGCTAAGCAGAAGGCTTGCCCTTCCCAGGTTTTTGCATGAGAAGAATACAAGAGTTTTGATCTGGTGTTGGGAACTACCTACCAGACTTGCAGCTGGGCTTTAGGAAGGAGTGCATATCAAGAAGTGGTACCTATTTACCTAATTATATGCAAGAGTACAGCTTTGTGGATGTAGTCTGTCATATTTCGCATATTTATTTTATATCTCCATTGCACAGATGAGAACTATTAGAAGTTCTGAGTCATATTTTGTTGTGTAAAAGGTACAAACAGTAGAGGCTTGTGTTCTTTTTTTGACCTCACAGCGTGCTCTGGTAATATACAGGTGTACAGTTGTACTTTAGATAGAGTATGCAGTTAGGTGAAGTAAAAAATACAGTTCTAAGCTTTGCTTCATCTGACACTTTGTTTCTAAAATGCAGTATGCATGCTATTTTTTGTGATCATATCTGTGCTGATTTATCCCCAAGTTAAGCATCTCTCATCTGCTTACTTAAACTTGCCTGATGTCGATCTTCAGTTACGTCTACATAATACTCTGCAACCTGGGAAAAAAGTGGTAAAAGTATGGCAAGGAAGAAAGCAATCAAAATATTTGACATTCTCAGAAGATCTGAGGATCTGGATGAGGAGGTGGTGTTGACTCCACAACCACATGCAGTGGCAGCCTTTGAGGCAGCATGAACAAGTGTAACAATGAATATCTTTCAAAGAGTCTTAAGAAAGATGCTACTTGCATTTGACAGTTTTAACTCAGCAGCTAGATAGCTCAGATCGAAGCCCAGCACACAAATCCAGCTTTTAATTTTATACAGTGCTGTCACATGTGTATGTACTAGCAGTGGTCCTTCATTCATGCACAGTGAGTGGGTAGACTGCGTGACTTCAGTTTCCCTCCGAATTCAGTGTTCTCATGGAGCGAACAGTAACATGATCTGTGCTTCCAGGTGTGCCGGGGCCTTGCCAAGCAGACTGAACTGAATGACTTCTTGCTTGATGTATCCAAGTAAGTGTGATTTGTACTATAAGATGATCAGTTTATTTTGATGAGCTTTTCTAACATGGCTGTTTCAATCCCCCCCCCCTCCCCTCCTTTTTTTTTTTTTTGACATGTATGTATACATGTACACATGCAAGACTGTAAATACTTCAGGTATATATCCTTGAAGAATCAGGGATGCCACACAAATGTTCTTCCCCTGCATTTTCTGAAGGCTCTGTTTTCATTTTCAAAGATGGTAACTGCATGTAGTATGTTTTCTTCTAATTTCTTGTCACAATAAATTCAGGATTAAATTGAAAACTCAGTAAGAGTATGAAAGCTTGGGCCTAGATTTGAAAAGTCAATTTAGTGTTTTAAGTGATCTGCTCTTCCTTCATCCCTTTTCTTTGTTGCTGCTATTAATAACTTTAAATAGTAGAGATACCCAATGGATTAAAAGACAAAGTGCAGTTGTAATTTGGTAAATCAGAGTCTGGGGTGCTTAACAGTATTTTATCAAACTAGTTGGTTGAAGAACTTCTAAGTGCATCACAAAGATGATACTGTGGAAAAATGAGATGTCTCAGATTTTTGCTGTTACAAATACTTCCGTGGTTCTTGATGAACAGTTCTGAAACTGATGAGATTAGAGGAAGTCCAAGATTCTTATGCCATTGCTCAGGAATGCAGGCAGCAGAGTCGACCCAGCTGGAATGGGGAGTGATACACCGCAGGGAGGAATCTACCCCTTGCAAGGAGGGCAAGCTGGTTGTATCCAGATGTTTTTCCTTAGCGATGACCTTTTTATTTATTTTATTTCAGCTTCATTTCAGAGTGTGTCTCCTAAGGGGAACTCTCATCACTCCCTTGCCAGAGCTACCCACTTGCTGCAGTGTCTTGCACCATTATGATACTTTCCAGAGTGCTTCTATTTTGCTAACATCTGTACTGTGCTAGTTGACCAGAGAACTCTGGAATAACCTGCCCAAAATTATGCACTGGCATCTTATTCTCAGTAGATAATACTGAGATTGGTTTAAAGAACTTTGTTATTATTTTAAAATTTTAAGGTAAAAATAACAATAAATACTGCAAATATTTAATATGTATTTCTCTAAGAAAATAACTCGCATACAGCATTATCAGCTGCTAGAACTGTTTTGTTTTAACAAAAAGGAAGCCATATGTTTTGGGCCACAAAATTGGGTTATCATTTAATAACAACTTTCTGAACTTCATGTGGGTAAAGGCTTGCACTAGCAAGAAAATAATTAGTTTCCTTTTAGAAATGCTCTGTACTTTTTCTTACATGGGAAGAGGGTTTCCTATTCAGTAAGGAAATTGTTACTGTGCAATGTCACTGGGACATGTTCTGTAACATTTTAGAAAGGGCATAGTATGCAGTGCTCCACCTCTTTGTGTGCCTGAAAATGTAAGACTAGCGTATTGTATATTTCCTTTCCACTAGACCCAAACAGAACTGAGCTGTATATATGTTCAAGGCCATGGAACAATGTCTTTCTGTTATCTGGGAACATTGTAATCCAAAGGTTATTAAAACTTGGCAAGTGCAAGATTTAGACTTCTTGTACTAATAAGTTTGACCTTTATCTTTCAATGTTCTTGACTGTCCTTGGGCAGTTACCATTTTGCTGTGAAACAGAGATACCTGTTTTTTTTAATTCACAAGATCAGTTTTTTTCTGCAGCTTCAACATGCTACACCTGGGTTGACAGTGAAGACTGATTAAGAGTTTTATAAATTGTTGGTGTTTAAATAGTGTTAAGGGTTGGATAATATGATGTGAATTTAGTTACAATACAGAGTTTTTATTAATTCTCAATAAATAGTCCTCTATGCATAAACCTAATGAGATATTTTGAAAGCATGTTGATAATATGTATCAGCAATGGAGGAAGAATTTTTTGTCTTCCGGCTTGCTTTTGCTTCTCCTTTTAAAATTTTCAGTGTGTAGAGGGTACCAAAGCATTTTGATACATTCTTGGTATTGCTCATCAGGGGCCTATTCAGTCCATGGTAGGCAATGTTTGGTAGTCTTTTCCTTTTCTTCAGAGAAAATTCTACATGTTATAGAGAATATTCTACAATTCTGTCATTGTAGAATAACGGCGTAAAGGAACAGAGATAGGACCATTTCTCAATTCCCTTGTGCTATAGCAAGCCAGTCATTGATTTTCAAGGTGCAGAGGTTTGTCCTCAGCTATTTGGGCTCCACGCTTAAGCGGTTGGGAAGCAAGAGCCCACAACAGCCATTTGAGAAGTGTTTGACTAAACCCCAGTATTTACTGACTTCTCTTTCTCTGCAGAACATACTTTGATAATATAGTTGCAATAGATTCTCTACTTGAACATATAATGGTAAGTTGTCTTTTTCACTTCTAAGTTTATTAGTCTTGGTTAATAAAGTCCTTAATTCTCCTTTCCTTGAAGTAAGACATTACATCATTGAAATATATGAGGTGTTTATAATGGACATGTAATAGAAACAGTATTAACAACTCCATGGAAGAAGATGGCAGAGGTCAGCTTGATTTTTTTATTTTCTCAACAACCTCATTTCACAGCTTTCGTAAGTAATGAAATGTGTCTGCCTCTGAACTAAATAGTTACTGTTGTGTTTTACAGAAGGTCTGAAAGTTGTAACAGAAAGACTTTTGGTTTTCTTTTTATTTCAGCCTGTTGTATTGATTCCTCTTTCCTAAATTCAGTTTGTTACATCCTACACTCCTGAAGAAGTTAATGTCTGTAGGAAGGACTAGAGATCAAAGATTACTCCTAGAGTACCTGTTCCAGTTGTTGAATGAGATGTGCAGGACACAACATCCCATTTGCTTTGCAAAAGTATTTACACCCATAACTAGAGTGATAGGGTGGTATAAAACCCACTAAAGGCAAGTCCACTGAAATAACTAAGACTGCTTAATCAATGAATTAAAGTACAGATCAGAAACAGATTATAATTTTCTGAATCAGTTTTGAACTCAGAAGTATTTCCTGAATAGTGATTACAAATACATATGGACTGGTTGTTCATAGCATGTTTTGCTTCTTTGATACACAACTTATGCTTTTAACTTGAGGCACATCCACTGCCTATTGCAATTCTCTTTCCTGAACGTAAATCTTAATTAGGTCTGTCATACTATTGTTTCAATTTGTGTATTCAACAGACTACTCTCCAATAGTACTCCCAAGCTTGCTCCAATCTTCCAAGTGATATTCTTAGCTAGACTATTCAAAGACAACAAATGTAGAATGCAAACAATATTAAAGTGGTTTTATTTAGAAACTTGAATTAGTAATGGAAAATATTCTGCAGTGTTTGTCTTATTCTAGTTAGTACACAGTCAAGAATTCTGCACATAGGACACATTTCTGAACATTGACTTTTCCAATTTAAATGAACTGCTTAAAAATAGCTTAACATTTGAAAGAACTGGTGTAATACAACATATGGCATTGAGAACAAATATTGATATTCTTCCCTATGAATAGAGGTCTGGTGCAAAACAGAATTGGCAGTAAAATACGCTTACTCTTTCATCTTCTTTTCCAACACTTGGCTGCATCGTGGTTCTGCATTTTAACCTGCGTAGATGTTTCATCCTCAGCTTTCTTTGTAAGCTGCAGCAGTTGGCTGTTTCTTGGGCCAGTGAGTTGAATTACGTGTTTGCGCATTTATTGCCATTTTATGGGAGTGTGATTTTTATCATTATTGGCTTATTATGTGTCTCACAGTGAGAAAAGAGTGGAACTCACTTTCACCTCACTACTTCATCCTTCGGTGATTGCACTTAAAGCTTGACTTACTCCTATAATAATAAGGAAAAAAATACAGACTTTAGCATTCTTCTCATTTTTTAATTAAAATCCCTCAACAAAGTTAGTGGTATAAGGGTGTTTTTGGATATAGATGCAAGGAGGAAAAGCAGAAGTTCAAGTTGCCTTGCAGATCTTCTTAAACAATATGCTAGAGTAGTTATAAGTAACATACTCAGCAGTTGGTCCCTGGCGTCCCTAATGACAGTGCAAAGCATACCTTTTGTACTGATGTTCTCCTTCAGCTGCTGGCCTGGATTTGGGCTTTAGAGAAGTAAGACTTTCTCATCGCGGTTAACTACTACTCTCAATTAGTATCGTTTGATCCGTTGTTTTTGAAAAGCGTGAGTCGTGACTGAGGTAAGTTATTGAGTCATATGCATTAGAACACAAATGTAATTGTATAAAATCAACAGTGTGCTGCTGATTTTATAAAGAGATCTGATACAGTTTCTGAGTAGATGTAGAGAAGCATTTACTGGACCCCGTGTCATTTTTGGCACAGTATATATCCATTTTGTTTTGAGCAAAGGAATAAATGGTATGAGTGGTCGGGATGTTTAAGCTTCTTATTGCTGTAAGTGGAGTTACCTCACAAAAGTTACCCCTTAGCTTGCAGTCTCCCTGCCTTTCTACTGCTGTCATGGAGCAAATGGAGTAGAAAGCCTCAGAATCTTTCCAGCCACAGGTTCTGCTAGTACAGGAGGGCCCTACAATAAGGCTTTGTAGAGTTGGTCTAGATGGTTTCTGTGTAGTTCCCATTACACAGTTCATATGAGACAGGATTAGTATCCCAACAAATTATTTATCTTCTCATAGGTTTTTACTGCCAAGGTCTAACATTTGTCTATTTACATTAATATGAAATTAAATGTTTTAGGTTTTCATTTTTCTTTTTTGAAAGATGAGGGGAGGAGGGAGAGGAAGTTAGTTCATTCCTGTGGATGTCTTGAGCATTCTTGAGACATGCCATCTGCATGCGTTGCACACCAAGAGGTAGTCAGCCTCTGTCTGTGGATGAATGACTAGCCGGCTATTCTATACAATTTGAAAAAGTTGAGTGAGATCCCCATCAGATCACGCTCTACCATACAGTTACTATACTTTCTGGGCAGATAAGAAACATAGGAGGCATATCTTAACCAGATAGAGCAGGTTCTTGAACCAGACTATATGGCATGTTAAATTAACACAGTGATTCTTGTTCTCAGAAAGTCTATTGTATGTGTGAGAAACATTTCAGTGAAGAGCTGCTGTCTTCCCAGGACAAGATTCTGTTCTTGTAATCAGTCCTGGCTGGCAGTTAGTTTTGCTAAGATAAAGCTAGCTGGTTCAGAGTGTAATAGAGACTGTGCAAGTCTGTTGCTGGTTCTTTCTTGACTATGGGTATTACCTTGTGGGCTTTGGTTAGTTCATGTAGAGCTACTAACTCAGCTTTTGTGCAAGAACTGTCCCTAGCATTAGGAAGGTGCAGCAATTTCCTTTAGGGCATAGGGAAATCCATAATAACACCTCTAATCTTCCCTATTTGTTAATTTTTACATAGTACAGGCACCTTATCTTTTTTTAGAGACAAACACTAGGCTCTCTGTTATGTCTTTCTTCTCTGGATATTCAATACCGGTATATGTGCATTGAACATAAAGACAAAATGCCGAAAATGTCCTTAAGTCTTGCTATATCCTATCTATTTAAAATGAACTAAAACTGAATAGTATCTAAACATAGAGGGAGGAGAGGTACCATTTTGAAAAGCATTCCTTGTAGTTGAAAAACAGTATAACAGGAAAATATTTTTTTCTTTTAGCAAACATTCAAGCTTCTAAAGGTATTCCCATATTTCTCGAAGAGAAGAACACTAATTTACAAAACAACATTGAATAAGAGACTTTAATTTTGAATTGGATCCTAAAAGATTGTGGTGGAGGTGAATGCTCTTTTAAACAAATCTTCATACTGGATAAATTCTCAAAACTTCTGTCTTTTAGGGACTTCTGTTTTTATCAGATAAATGACTGAAGATAATTGAACTCATGACCGTTAACTCTAGTTTTGTTTTTTTTGTCTATAGATATATGCAAAAAACCTGGTGAATGCAGATAGGTGTGCACTCTTCCAGGTTGACCACAAAAATAAGGAGCTGTATTCAGACCTTTTTGATATTGGAGAAGAAAATGATGGGAAACCTGTCTTCAAGAAGACCAAAGAAATAAGGTAAGAGTAGCTAGCAGAAGAATGCAGTTTCATTATAACTACGGATGTGCAGGCATTTTACTACCCAGTCTCTGTGCCTATCTGCAGGTACCCTGACAATACTTGTCATACTGTGATATCATTCCCACCAGGACCCGCCTCCAGAAGGTAGTACTTCTGGGAATGACATTGCAGTGCCATCGAAACAACGTCTCTGAAGCTATAACGTCACTCCTGGAAATGCCGTCTTCCGGAGGCGGTCCTTTTGGAAATCATGTTGGGAAAAAAACAGAGGTGTTCTGAGGTAGGTAAAGGTGCAGGTAAAGGTGCACCTAATCCGTAGTCTGCCAGTATGGGACTTTTTTTCCCAAGAGGGTTCCCAAGAGAAATTGAAATTTGTGCGAGTCAAGCACATCCAAAGCAAGGAAGTCGCAATTTGTACATATGGATGGATTAGGTATGTGTAGAATGTAGTATGGACTGGTCATTGCTTTTGAAGATTTCAAGTCCAGTAATATAGCTGTACTTTTTCTTATATGAATTTAGAATATTTTCAAACTTTTAAATAATTGTGATTATGAAATACGCTTGAAGTGGTGAATTTGAAAATGTATATGGGCTTGTAATGAATTCACAGAATTCTCTGCCTAAAATTGATTTTTTTCGGAAGAAAAATCAGAAGTATTCTATTTCAGAAGTATTTCTGCTTCTTCCTGTCACAAGTAAGTAATTTTTATAGATATGTGCATTTTTTAAAATGGAGGAGGCAAAACAACAAAGTAATATAACATTTTTCACTTTGCAAAAATTAGGAATCCTTAATAGATACAGATCAAGATTTTCAAAGACAGGTTTTCAACCTGCAGCTTCTAAAAAGAGAGAAATGTATGACTAAATATTCTGCACTAAAATTCTGTTAAAATACTCAGATTTTTCTCAGATTTTTTTCATCTCCTCCTTATACTTACAAAGTTCTTGGCCAATACGAGATGTGATTCGTGTCTTCACTTAGACTCCTTTAGACAAACTTACTCCCACTTACTACATTGTGTGAGTGAGAATGGAAGGAGTCAAAATTGGTGCAATTTGCATACTGACAAGCAAGGAGGTGGTGTAAATTAAAGAAGGTGGCCTGCTTTAACATACACTTTTGTACTCCTTGATAATTGTTTTTCTACCTTATATCTTTCTGTCTTTTCTGTATGAAAATTATTGAAATGTTGACTGTGAATGCAAGGGTGTGAGCCATTTCATGGGTGCTGTAGACTGGAGGAGAAGTACAACTTAGGTATCTGTAAGAAACTAACACTTAGTCAGCTGTCAGGAAGGAGCCTTAAGAGGGTGTGATGTACACATATCATAACAAGCAGAAGAAGAAATGAACTTAAAATCAGATGTGCAGAGTGAAATGCTGTCAGCTTTGTCATTAACTTCAGCGGGGGCAAGATACTGCCTGGGTACATTTAGATTTGAAAATGTTTCGTGTGTGATCCTTTCTACTTATTTTCCTCCACAAATTCTTTTGTGCCTGTATGTCATAACTGTTTTGTGTCGAAGAACTGAAAATTATTTCCTCTCAAGACAGACTTGCAGAGTTTGTGATTCAACTCCAGCATACATTTGTTGTGTTCAAATTTATTGTGGCGATTAAGGGATGTGGTTAGTACCATGGCATTGTTTGCATGTCATGAGATGAAACAGGCTAGTTATTCTGAAGTGTACATGGCAAATGCATGTAGTGTTTAGCTTTCTTTAGGTGAAATTTCCACTGGTCTTTTTCAAAGTTTATTTTACCAACTCCCCCTGCCCCCTACAAGAAACAAGCTCTGTATTGCCTATGATGTGTCTAAAGATTCAATGGATATGTAAAAGCAGTGATAGAATCAATAGCTTGTAAAGGCAAACATAAGTCTCAAGTTCTGTACAAATGTCATGTTTATTATGCATAACCCCCAGGGTTATTGAAGACTGAATTTTTGTCACCAAAATGGTCATATTATGGCATCTCTTGTATTGAACTATGTAGTTACATGTTTTCAGAAAGTGCCTATTTAGCATGTGCTTTTAAAATTTTTTTATTTACTACTAGCCTTGCGAGATTTTTCTCCTTTAAGCATCAAAATGACGCTGGTTGGGAACAAATATCCATTGCTGTGCCCAAGACAGACTCCACTGGAAAAATGTTTTTTCCAGATAGTTCATATTGTGGCTAAGACAAAACTTTATTTTCTGCAGATTTTCTATAGAAAAAGGAATAGCTGGTCAAGTGGCAAGAACGGGAGAAGTCCTTAACATCCCTGATGCCTATGCAGATCCACGCTTTAACAGGTAAGATGTTATACATGGGAGGAGAAGATAGCACACCAAACCTTTTACTTGAATTTGCTACTCTATATTTCATATTAGGATGCATTAATGGAGCTGTGATACTCTGGTGAGGAGACAACCTGTAGATATCTATTTAAATGCTTTAGCCATTGGGGATACAAGATACAAATAAAAAGTATAGTTTTCACCAGACATAAATATAATGGAGAAAAGTTTAGTTATTTTTCCTGATATGGAACCTTGACCAGTTATGGACATGTTGTTAATTTCCTTTATGGGCCTCCCTGCAATTTGATCAGTTTCAGCAGAGAAGAAAAAAAAGTTCACTAACAAATAATATGCCTAAGTACCTGAATGTACTCTCTTAATTTTGGGAATAAGATGTCTGTACATTTGAAGAAGTATTCATTGTTTATCTTGCAAATGGAGATTAAAGGATTAAAAAGTTCTTTCTAACTATGACACAGTAGATGGAGATATTTGAGAGCTTTGGAGGTGAACTTCTTGCAGGTACTAATTTCATATGCTTAAAAGCTATTTAGTATATTGTACATCAACATTTCTGAGAATCAGGGAGTAGATATTAAAAATATTAACTCTCTTCTTTTTTTTTTTTTTTTCCTTGCTTTTTTCTGGCTCTCCAGAGAAGTAGACCTCTACACAGGCTACACAACCAGAAATATCCTGTGCATGCCTATTGTAAGCCGAGGAAGTGTAATAGGTGTTGTGCAGATGGTGAACAAAATAAGTGGAAGTGCCTTCTCTAAAACTGATGAGAACAACTTTAAAATGTTTGCAGTCTTTTGTGCTTTAGCCTTACACTGTGCTAATGTAAGTTTTATTTACAGTTTTGTAAGCTGTTGGTTATAATGGGGAGACTTAGAATCCTATTTAAGGATTTTGGTGTTCCAGATTTTTGAAGTGATTCATGAGTCTGTTTCGTTGAATTAGCAAGGCGACAAGAATCACTGAATTCTTTGCTAAATAACTGTATTTTAAGAGTATGGTAGGGATTTATTTGATGCTTTCTGAAATAATTATACTCTGGATACATCAGTTTTGTGTAGCTAAACTGAGAGAGCAAGCTCTGAAATGTGAATGATATCTGTCTGTCTTCTCTTTTCCAGTAGAAAGTATGATTTTACCTACTTTTATAAATTCAGTTCACACATTTTACAAGTTTAACTGGGGGATGGAGATGTTATGTATTCTCTTGATTCCATATGCATAATATTCAGAGATGTCAATTAATACATTTATATGCCATGCTTCTGGATAAGAGTGGATAGCTATTTTTATTTTCAAACCCTTTAGTGTCACAAAATTTACTATTCCCACAGGAAGCATAAGCAATTTAATGATCATTACTATATAAGTATAAAAGTGAAATAAATGCAATAAAAATACAGTGCCGAAGAAATATGTCAAGATACAATGCAATGCTAGTTAAGCCGGGTGATTTACATTAAGCCATTTTACTGGCATCATGCTGTGTGTATACTGGGGCAGCAAATTCTTCTAACAGTTACTCAAATATATCTTGCATGACTCAAGGCAAGTAGAAATGCCTGTGTATAAATGAAACTTGGGACTATGCAGTCATTCGGTTGTGTGTCAGCTCACTCACTCCTTATGGATGGTGAATGTTAACCACTCCGGGCGTACTGCTCCAGAGGACTATTTTTACTAGTAAAATTGTTGTGTCCTCACTTGTTTACAAACCATGTTATGTCTGCAATAGCTGTCCGAACCTCTCCGTAATGAACTGTACTGATTTTTCACAGTTATTGCACAGTAATTTAGGTACAGTAAACATCTCATGTACTTTTTACTGTGCACAGGTAGCAGTTAATTTGCAGCGATTAATAGCTGAATTCATACAGTGGCAGACAATATGGATTGGACCCTTTTGTCAGGTTTTTTTCTGTTAGCATATTGCAAGGGACTGAGCTCTGCTTCTAGCTCCTGAACTTTGATTCTTTTTCTTGGGAAAGCTCAGGCATAGTGAAAAATCAGCAGAGCCATAGAAGTTTACCTGGCTGAGTAGATGCAGAATGTGATAGAAGGCCCAAAAGTACTTAATTTCCAGAAGTACTTAATTTCATATAATGTGTTGCTTTTCTTAGGTGTGAAGTTGAGCAGTCAAAAGCAGATGTCTATTTTAAGAATAAGTACTTGAATACAGGAAAGAAATGTTTTCTCCTTTATTAAAATTTCACACTAATGAATGACTTCCCTTTTTCAGATGTACCACAGAATTCGCCATTCAGAGTGTATTTACCGTGTAACGATGGAAAAGCTATCCTACCACAGTGTTTGTACAGCAGAAGAGTGGCAAAACCTCATGCACTGTACACTGCCTCCACATATTTATAAAGAAATTGAACTGTGAGTGTTTTTCTCATATAGTGACAGCTACATCTTGTATCAGTCTGTGAAAAATATGTTTGGGTTTTTTTTTCTCCTACGTGTAGTGGAAGGTTTTGCAGGAAGCACAATCATAGGGGTTTATCTCTGGCTCTCTTATACTTACTGATGCTTAATGTCCTACAAACAAAATTTATCTATCAAAGAAGTAAAATAATACCTACTCAGAATGGTATAATTTTCCTCAGGCATGGGTAGTTACACTTGCTTTAAGCAATAGTTTGTATCTAAGTATTATAGAGATAAGCTTTTCTTTCTGATAGTCCCACGTCACCAACAGCTCAGACCTGGAGTGGAGGCTGAGCTGGAACATTAGTAGTTAAGACCAAATGCATGACCTCACCCCTTTGTATGTGTTATAGAACAAAAGTTCAGCTTGTTCCTGAGATGTTTTTGGGCTCTGTGGGTTTTGGTTGTGGGGGTGAGGGGGGTTGTGTTGGGGTTTGATTGGATGGGTGTGTGTTTTTTGCTATTTTGTGAATCTGCCTGTGTTTCTTGAAGGAGGGGAAAATGGATACAGATTTCTCAACTTCTGAAGATAATTGGGGGTTACAAATCCCAGGTGCTAAAGTTCAGAGTTGTGGCCTCAATTTGAGGACTACCACCCATCCAGCCTTTTAGGCTTTCTTTGAAATAGTTCAGTTACTTTCAGATCTCAAGTGTAGGCCGAATGCTGAATATGTACCTCTGTATGAACGTTATCAGTCCCCGCTCTATGCTAACACCAGGACTTATCTAATTTTTTCATCACTGTTTCTGGCCCAGGACAATAATTCTTCTGTAGTGACCAGGTGTCTAAAATCAACACACTCTGATAGTGAGTCACAAAATCTGAATTTTCCCTTTGTAAACCTCATCTCCAGAGCTTGCTCACTCCTGTCAGGCATTGAGCCGTGTAGCTGTGAGTGAGCAAAGAGTGAAAAAAAATGCTTAACAGGTGCTGCTTACAGTTCAAGTTCGTTACAAGCTGAAGTGGTTTGCTTGAAAACCATAGTGTTAGCGTCTTGCAGGATTACACCCTAATAGAAGCTTATTCTTTGCAATACAATTTCTTGTGCTTTGTTAGATGATATTATATAACCCACCTCCTCAGCAAAAATGATTTTTTACTTGCAAAGATGACAGGTTTCGTTCTAAATTATATTAACGTCCTTTAGTTCAAGCAATCTGAATACATTTAACCATTTTCCAAGCAATTCAACTACCTTCAGCTCTCTTGCACCTGCTGTGCTGTTCAGGATTCCGCATACCCACAATGTTTAGCTGGGTTCCGTGGAAAGTAAGTGGAAGACTTGCAGCACAGCAGGTGCAGGGAAAGGGGTTAGTTGATAATCGAAGGATGAACAGGTCCCTCATCTTAGGCCTAGATGTTGATATTGGGAGAGGGAGAAGTCCTCGGCTAATAAAACATAAGAAATTCAGTGTTAAATTTTTGACGTTTGGGCTTAATTTCTACTAGCTAGCAAAAGTTGATTTCTTTTTTTTCTCTCTCTATCAGAAATTACAGCAAATCTCACTGAATTTGTGACAGAAATTATTGTAAAAAAAGCCACTGAATATATTGTTAGAGACACCATCTTTACATTTCCTGAGAGGAAAGTCTGGAATATTTGAGGAATACCTGTAAAGCTTTCATCGTTCCTGTAGAACAATGAATTATTTGTTGTTGTTTTTGTTGTTGTTGTAGTTCCTTAAGCAATGGATTCTTAACTGAAGAGTTAAGTTTTTATTAACTAACCAAAGTCAAAGTCTAATGGTTGAACTCGATGATCTTAAGGGTCGTTTGCAACCTAAATGATTCCATAGGCATAGTTCCACTGACCTTAGGAGAAATATATTAACTTAATTGCTGGAAAATACAGCCTGTGAAGTCAGTTTTCTGTGTGTATTCAGAAACAAATGAATGCTGTCAAATACACAGTTACCTAGTTGTTTCCACTTAATTTTAGTAAGAATGTGGAAAGGTGTTTGTCCTTACTAAGCTGAAACTTTTTTCCTCAGATACCACTTTGATATCAGTCCATATGAGGATGTTTGGCCTGCAATTTTTGTCTACATGGTTCACCAGTCCTGTGGGACAGCCTGGTATGAAGTACATAATTTGTTGATTTCATACTTTTATTTATGTGTTTATTTATTAGGAAATTTTGGGATCATTGTTTTCTAATTCCAGGTCTTGGGTTTTTTTGCAATTTATTTACTATGTCTAGTCTGTACAGGGCTGTAATAAGTGGACTGGATTTCTTCTCACGACTTCTTGGTCTTCAGTTAATAAAATTTGGGAACAGACACGTAAAAGAACTCATAGTATCAACCAAACAGTTGTTTTTCCAATATATAGAAGTATTGTTTGTCTCTTAGATGAGATTGCTTTTCAGACAGAAGATAGTGAAGATGTTAAAGGCATTAGGATTGCCAAAAAGGAGAAGAAGGTCTATGAATACTGATTTTTCAAATATGTAGTTGCTGAAACTAATATAGTATATGATTAAAATAATCCAAGGTTAGATCTTATCTTGCTAAATATATCAGTTATTGACATCATTGTATTAATTATGGAAGTGAATGTTTTCAAATGAATTGTTTCATTTATTGTCCTTTCTCTCAGTTTCCATTATTGTTACTAAGATCAGTAGTCTCTATGCTAACTATGTCCTATTGCTGAAAGAAAGGAGCTGCTCTGACTTAGGGAAAACACCTACAGATGGGCAATTGAAAGGGAAGTATCTCCCTGCAAATAGGAGCAACGTTTGGGGGAAACATTTGCTGGGGACTGTTTTTCATCTCAGTAACTGGATGAATCTCCATGCCCTCAAAGTATACGCTCAAACCTGAGGGTCTTTCTCGTGCCTTCTTCACTACCGCAAAGTGGGTGACTGTTCTAACAGTCACCCTACTCCCTACTGCTCCGTGTAGTTAACTTGTTTCCCCTCCTGACTGAGTGGCTGTGAGTGCAAGGCTGGGGTTCGGATTTTCAGCTAAGTTACGTTCTTTTCCCTCTCTGTCTCCCAGTCTCTTTCTTTCAAGGTGTAACTTGATGGGAAAGAATTCACACCTACCCTACATTTTTCAAATGAGTCTCAATTTTCACCTATAAAGTTAAAGAAGCAAAAGTGAGAAAAACATTTAAAAAGGAGGCTGTTGGGACTGGACTTGTATTTAATTTTTGAAAGAACAAAACTTCTCAACCCTCTGAAACAAGTACAGCTAATTTTAAGACTAAACTTTGATTTTTAGTATGTTGAGGACTGAGGTTGTGCCTTTAAGTATACACCTATGTAATGTATAACGGTCCTGTCCAGGGAGGATTTGGGAGAAAAATCTGATACTTGCTACATTTTCTTTGCTCTCCTGAAGAAATAATCTTTTACTGCTTTAGTCAAGTATACAAAATACAGCAGTCGAGGAAGTAATAATATTCTATGTTGAGGTATCATTGATAATGCTTTTCCCTTTGGCTACAATTATACTGTCTCGTAGTAACCATTGAGCTGTTATTGGATGTAGATGGAAGTGACTGTTGTGATGATCTGAGTTATGTACTGTTTTAAACAGTAGTACTACCGATGGTTCTAGAGCTGTCTGACAACTATCTAGAATTAAAAAAGAAAGCCTGAAGCTTTATTGAAAGACAATAAGCCTCCATTTTTACCAATGTCAGGCTAAGACTGAGAAGAATAATTACCTTGCACAACATGCAACTGTAGAAATATATTTTTCTATATAACTGGCTCCATGTAGTAGATGTGTTCACATTTTTACATATAGGTCAGAAACATTTATCTTGGTTTTCTCAGCCTAAATGTACTGCAAAACTAGAACATTAATACAGCTTCCCAGAGACACCCAAGAAATTCTCAAAACATGGAAGTTTAAAAAAATGTCAGAATACAGTAACAGGGGAAAAAATGAGAATAAGGGAAAACTGATCTGTTTATGAGGGAAAAAGTTGGTGATTTGGGTGTCTGGCATCTTCAGTTCAGTTCTGGGCTCAAGTATAATAGTCCCTTTTCATCCAAGACAGCTTGGATTAGGTATTTAAGAAAATTTTATCTGATATCTAATCTGTGCCTGAATTTCCCATCTGTAAACAGAAAGTATTCAGCTTTCCTTTCAAAGGAACGTTGGTAGATGAAATCTTTTAAAGGCTGTGCAGAGCTCCGGTACTACAGAATATGAACTCCCTCAGAGGTGTTTTTGATGAGCATATAAGCCAAATGTAACAATTACTTCATTACTACTTTTTATTATGACCCAAATGAAAATACTCTTGATCTTAAATTAATTTTGCTTGTCTATACTAGTAGCAAAAATATTTTTAAAGTTCTTTAAGAAATAATACCAGTGTCAATTACTTAACAATATTTTGCATGGTGAGAAATGAAGAAACAGTAACATACTTGATTTCTGTTCATTTGACCAAACTTGGAAAAAGTACTTAAAATCTTGGAAAAAGTAAAATCATCTTCTTTTCCTGATGTCCGTATGGAGCATTTCAACTTCTTTTTTTCAAAACAACTTATGCATTTAGCGTTCGACTGACATTTTAATTTAAGCAGGATGATGTCATGTCATTTGCTTAAAAAAACCTTAATTTTCTGTTTTGGTCCCAAAATACGTTTTCAAATTGTCCATTAGATGCCGATTTTCACTATTTGGCAGATTGAATGGATAACGATTTAAAGAAACCACACTTCAAGTTTCTGGGAGCAGGGAAGGTTATGGAATTGTGTTGCCTGAGCTGCGTAGCTTGACTTACATTCCAGAATTTTACAGATTAAACTAAGAGCATTGTTGGGTATCCACACTTCTCTGTTCTTGCCAAAACTTAGTCATCTGCAATGAGAGTCAATCCTAGCAAGAGGAGTAAATCAAAGAGCATCTTTTCTCCTCTGTCTACTATTTTTCCTGTTTTTATTTTTTGTCTCTGACCAAATTAATTTCTTTCTAGCTTTGAACTTGAAAAGCTATGCCGATTTACTATGTCTGTGAAGAAGAACTATCGCCGCGTGCCCTACCACAACTGGAAGCATGCAGTTACTGTTGCACATTGCATGTATGCCATACTTCAGAACAACCAGGGCCTTTTCACTGATCTAGAGGTAGGTGAGATGACTGTGTCCGTTACTAGACCTCATCTGAGCTATCAGCCATCGCAGAAGTACAGATTCTATGCTAGAGTTTTGCTGTCAGCTTGGGCAGAGGGTGTATCAAGGCCCCTGCAGAGGAACGAGTGTGAGTAGAAAGCTTGAAGAAGGAGGATTATTCCAATTCCTAATTCTAGTGTTTCCTTCGCGTTTTCAGGTCTGCCCACTGAAGAAGCAGTAGCAGATTTGCTTTAAGTCCATGTCCACATCTTGAGGTTCTCCCTGCTCACTTGCAACCACACTCTTTATTTTAACTATTTAACTGGCAGATCTGTACTGGCGGGAGGGAAACACCCTGTATCTTGAACCCTTTGAGGTCTGGGAGATCCTGAATAGGGGGACAGGGGTTGCAGAGGTGGTTGATACATCGTGAATAAAGGAGAGCAGAAAGGATGGAAGGAAGACTGTTGTCCACATATGCTAATTCACCAATTAACTTCTATTGTGCAACAGTTTTCCTAAGCATACTCTTACGTATTTCAAACATAAATGCATAGTGTTTAAAAAAGTTGGGGAAAAAGATTTTGAATAGCTCACTAAGTGGAAAAGTTATAATGATAAAATGGACGACTTAGAATGGTTAAATATTAATATACACTACGAAGAACCATCACTTGTTTTTTTTTCTGAATTATGGTTGGTGAAACTGGGAATGCTGTCTATTATTAATACTACCTGAAACTTCTGACTGGGAGAACCTGTTTTCGGTTGTTTATATCTTCTCCAAATACTAGCCATTTGAGCTGTAGTTGTCCAGATTCTATTACTTCCTTAAGCTGATTCATTTGGGCAAATTTCAGCCAAAATTGTTTGGCTCTTTAAAAGAAACATGCTAGGAGAAATCAAGTGTTTGTTCAGACTATAAGAATAAAATAAAATTTGGTAATCTTTCATTTGAAAAGGTCTTGTTTATTCTGCTGTAAAGCAGTGACTTGAAAATTGATACTGAGAAAGGAAAATGGCATTTGCCAGGCATATGCTGAAAGTTGGCCAAGCTATAGAAGTTCGAAAAAATTGGTATTTTTTTAACAACAAAAATCTGTGGATTGCAGCCTCAGGGAATATTTAGAGCTCTGATAACATTCAGTACTAACCAAGTAGTAGTCTCTGTGTGGAGACACAGAGAAAGACGGACAGGGAGGGAGGGAGGGTAAAAGAGGCAGCTGTTAAGAGAGATGGAAACAATCTTTGTTCCCAGCCAAACTCCAGCCAGCTTTCAGCTGTTTGAATGTCTTATCCCAGCCTATGTTCCAGCTCTTCATAGCAGTCTTCTTCCTTGACAGTGAAGATTAATCCAAGAAGAATATAGGAATAAACTGCTGAAGGAAAGTTTGGGTAACTAAGATGGCCTGGTCTTAGTTACCAGCCCATGGTGAGGGATGATGACGTGAACCTCGGTAGACTTAGAGATGGGAAGAGCAGTATGTAACACTGTGTAAAGGGGACTCTGGTCTAGAGGCAAGTAGATCCAGCAGTTGGTAGTGGTCTCAGAGTTGTGATCCAAGCAGGAACTATGGGTACAAGGTCAAGAGCAATGGGAATAGGCATTGTATAATCCTGAAGGACTGAGACAGGAATGACTTCTGGGGATGTGGAGTCTGAGTCAAGCTAGAGAAAAAGAACCGTCTGGTACAAGGGACAGACTGATAACAATTTTAAGACTGGAGAAGACGTCGGTTGTAAAGGATGCAACCGGGTTGCAACAGGACAGTTAAACTTGTGGGGGAAGGACAGACAAGTTTACACTCACTAGATCTTAACACATAGCAAAAAGGATTGAGGCTCATCTTTCTTTTGTCGTCAGAGACTTTTTTCCTAAGTATATTGCTTCTATGTCTTGCCCTGCCTGATAGCAGTGAAAAGGTGATACCAGATTCCTACAGCTGTTACTCTACCACTGCAGCTGTCACCACTGTAATATAGGTGTGTGTTATGTTCCTAAGGGTTCCATTTCTGCTGAGGATCTGCATGGTCGTGTGCTGCTGCACCATCTGTTCTATTACGTGCTTTTTAAAAATACACTTCACAAGGTGCAATATTGGAAAAAAAATCATTAAATGAAAAAGGTTGAAGGATTTAACTTTGTAAACTTAAGTTGAATGAAATAAAAGTAAAGGTCTCAATCAGAAGTACAGTTAGTGCATATTAATTAAGTGCACCTTAATTCTGCATATTGTGTATTTGTGATTAAGTTTTTAGTTACATGATTTCTCTCTATTTGTTCATGGAATTGTGTGCCTCAGTACAGTGTACAGGTTGGTTGTTGCTCAATTAATAGGTGGTTAATCAGTGGGGTTTTTTCTGCTTCGTTTTATAGCCTTACCCTTGTGAATCCCTCCAATAGTATGTGATTGTGTGCAACAATGGGGTTTTTTTTAATGCATAATATATGAAAGGTTTGAATTATAATTGGACTGAGAATTTTAATTCAGCACGTCCTCACGTCCATGTTTCTTGTAATTTTAAGGATGTTTCTCCATGTGCTTTTTGAAGGCATTGTAAGCATAGCACAACTTTTACAGTATTTTGGGAAGAGAGTGACATCTAGGGGCAGGAAATACATCTTACGTCTCATGCTTATCTCAATGTTTTTGTAGCGAAAAGGTCTTCTAGTTGCATGCCTGTGTCATGACCTGGATCACAGAGGTTACAGCAACAGCTATCTTCAGAAATTTGATCACCCCTTAGCTGCTCTCTATTCCACGTCAACAATGGAACAGCACCACTTCTCACAGACTGTGTCCATCCTGCAGGTAGGATTACTGAAATTCTATCTTCTGTGCAGTAGAGTCCCGTGGTGGAAATAGGAGTCACGTCATTACCCAGTAGATTCTCTTCAAGCATGCTTAATTTTATGTCTGGATTGTAGTGCTCATTTAGAGGAGTAGAAGATTTATTACAGCAAGCCATGTTCCATGATTAACAACCCAAACATTTAATAATAGTGCAAAACATAGCTTTCCCAAAATCTTGATGTTATAAAAAATAATTGCATATTTGAATGTCTTTGCTTATGACCTTCCTTTGGAGCTTTCAGCTCCTGGGTCAGTGAGCGGTTTTCCTATGACTATATGGAGTAGGAACTTTGGAAATGAAAGATGTTTGTCATCTACCTAGATATTTCTGGCATAAAGTACTGTAACAGAGTCTTAGCCATCCTGAATTTCTGAATAAAAACCCAAATACTGGCAAAAGTTTGCACAAAAATCTTGAAAACCTGCTGTAATAAATTGTGAACACTAAATGTGTGGCATGAAGGAGGAAATGTTCATTTTGCACGCATGAAAAGTTTAAATTTGTTTCATTATGTTATCATATGCTTTTTTGTTACTCAACGATTTGAAATTTTAAAAAAACCCAAACCCTGAGTAAGGTGATATTCTACGCAAGAGAGTTCCTAGTATGAGGTAATGTATATATTTAATGAATAGAAAACTACAGGAAAGCGTGCAGACACATTTTGGGAAATCCAAGTGTGTTACTGACACACAGATACTTTTTCATCAGTGAAATGTTTTTTTCATGCTCAATAACAATGAGAACTCTTACCCCTGCCAGCCCATAACATACCTGTGCACAGTGGTTTTAATTTACCATGCACATGCTCGATGCACAGCCTTACCCTGCTACTGTGCCACTAATTCATTGTTAACTTTTCTTTCTTTCTGGTCTTTTGGGGGAACATAGTTATTTTCTTAAATACCTAATCACCTTTTAGGAAAAATACATATTCTGTATTGTGTTCAGAAGCACATTCTGTGGTTATGGGTTTTAGGTATCATATACATTTCGTCAGAGAATGGAAGCTGAATGCATCTCTCTGTAGAAGGGTGTAATTGAATCCTTCAGTGGTGGTATGTCAGTAGGTTTTTAGCATTCGTTCTTCATGTGAGTTTGTGCACAGTGAGCAAGTTCCTCAGTCATTAACACTTCTCTGTCCCACTACGGCTGTGTGAAGCCAACCTCAGTCATTCTTCAAAAACTATTTTGCATTTTTCCTGTAGAAATGTTGTAATTGGTGAAAGTCCCATTTACCAAGAAGGTGGGAAACCCTTTTGCCTCTCTGCTACCTCCAGGCCTTGACCATCAGTGAGAGTGAGGACAGGGAAATAGGTGGTCAGGGCTGTAGGGTAGATTCAGACACTAGCTTCTTAGGAACACAGAGGATTCCATTCACTAACTTTAGCTCAGCAGAAAAGAAGAAAATCTTAGGAGCTGTACTTCATATGTACTACTCTAAAGTGACAATGCTCAGAAATGGCAGCTTCTGTCAGTACTTACCAGAATCAGTTCTTTTCTAGTAGTATGAACAGAAGCTGTCACAGTGGTCTTTCCAATACTAAAGGAGTAGTGCAGCTACTAAAGCCTAAAGAAGGGAATCTAGAATAATTTAAATATTAGGACAAATACCCTGTTCTCACAGGCTAGGCAGCAAGGTTGGGGAAGAAAGTGTCCACAGAACCCTAAATCATAAAAACTAACAGTAGTCATTTCTTGCTCCCAAAGTGTTGATGACGGGTTAAAATGTTTTGAGCGTTTTTTTAAACATCATGTTCTGTAACTTAGGAGTCAGTGATAGGAGCATTGAGACATAGATGGATAGTTTTTTCTATTCATTATTCACAATAAATGTACTTGTCCAAGTAAAGATGTTGGAAAATGACGTTTATGTTCCGGATGGTGAGATGAACCAAGACTATTTGTACCACAGAGGATTTATTTAGAACAAATTATGTAAATGCTTGACGAAAGTCAGGGAAACTTTTTATGAGCTTCAGCCCAAATGCCAATTAAATGTCAAAACACATCTGCATTTGATGTATTTTAATAATATTTTCTATTTGTGAATGTACACACCTTGACATGGCTGGCTCATTCTTTCTTATTTTCCTCTGTTTCCTCTCAACAGTAGGAAGACTTGACAAGTTGTTTTCCAAATCTTAGAGACAGGGAATAGTGTTGACTTTACAAAATGTGGTGTGGCTTCATGAGTGATCACAGTACATGGATATTGTCAGTTAAATGCACAATAATACATAGCTGAAATTTAAAAGGGGTGACAGTGGCATCCTGCCAGAGCCTCCGTGGTAGAAACCATTGTCTTTAGCTTGAGTCAGTCAACTATAGTTGAACAAAGCAGCTTTTTACTTTGTGTTAATATACATTAAAATACTGTAATTTAAGTACATTTCCATAGAGCAAATCGTATCAGTAAAGGCAGCAATTTTGGACACATTTCATTTGGAACAGTATGAAAAGAAAATTATTTTAGTACTTCAACTTGGGTATTTCCTTATCCATATTATGTGTCATGCAGTATCAAAATTGAACTTCAGAGTGAATCAGATGCTCAGTTTACCAACTCGGCAGTGCGGTACTCTGGATCAGGGTTGAATCACAGGTTCCTAAGCTAATACTCTCTGGAAGTGCTGTGTGTGTTTAGTGCTTATAAATCACAGAAGAAAAAGCTAGCATTTTTCTCTATTAATACCTTTAGGCTTCAGAAGGAGTAGTCCCAAAACCAAATCAGTGGCTTAGTCATAGGTTTCGTGACAGTATTTTAAAAACAAAAAGAAAAAATGGGAATTTCAGTCTGTCAAGATTTAAAAAAAAAAATTGTCATTGAGCTGTAAAACCGTTGTTGCCTGTCTGGTGGAGCAAAGACTAAAGTCATCTCAGAATTAGAGCTTGTGCTTTTTATTGGTTTTTTACTTTTTCATAGCTGGAAGGGCACAATGTCTTCTCCAATCTGAGCTCCAGCGAATATGAGCAAGTACTTGAGATCATCCGGAAAGCCATCATCGCCACAGACCTTGCCCTGTATTTTGGAAATAGAAAACAGCTTGAAGAGCTACATCAGACAGGAGCATTAAACCTTAAGAACCAAGCACACAGGTAAAGCAGCAAACCAGTATTAGTTCACTGTGGCATTAGTCCTAGAAATAAAAAACTTTCTCTTTTGCAAAAAAAAATTTCTGTGTACGCAGTAATTTTCTTACATATGAGATTTCTAAGACCAGCTGTGTGTAAAATTCCAAGTATATAACAGTAATTTCCATTGGTTTATATTTGCATGTCTCTGCCGCTGGATGTCGTATGCACAGCTCAATGACAGATCATTGCAGAGGAAAGTTAGTGCACAGGCAGTTAGGTTGAGGGCGGGAGGTATAATGCAATAATTACTTAGTTTTATTTTTATGTCAGTGTTGTTTTTACTCTGTCAGTGTGCTTTTTTTGAAATAATTCTGGTCAGATATCAACCTTTGTGGATGAAGATAGCTCTAAGTTTTAAAAATATGCAACGAGTGCATGTATTCATATTCATAAATAAATGACTCTCTGTCCACATAAGCAAAACAAAGTGCACACTGGATGAGAGATGTGTCTCATAGCAGGCTTCATTAAACCGCTTGTACAGCCCTTAAGAGCTGCTTTATTTGTAAAGGAGATCTTTTCATTAATCTACTGCAGGGAAGAATTAGGGAAGTAATACGAGAAAATACTGAGTCATGATTCTGATTTAATTTCAAAAGGAACTTTGGTACTGGTATCTCTTTTCTGGGGAGTTTTACAGCTTTTTGCCAGTAGTTTTGAATAAATTATTACAACACTGTAGGAAGAGCAATTTTTAAAAGCTTATTCCTCAGTATGAAACTGAGGCTTATCAGACTTGAATAAACCTCAGCAATTTAAAAAGGCAAACATATAGTAGCTCCTGATAATCTCAGAATGAAATTTTACCAGAAATCTTGAATTTAGGGTTTATAAAATTTAAGTAGGATTACAACTATTTAGCGGGTGATTGAATATTCTATTATGTTTGTATTTTTTATATTACCTGCCCTCAGAGTATTTTCAGCGCAAAGCCGCATGCCTGAAGATGGGACATCAGTTTGTAATGTGGCTAAAGACCTCTAGCTGGTATCTGTACATGCAATGAAACACTGAATTTGGCCATTATGTGCCTGATGAATCCTCTTTCTTAACTCAGAAGACTTGCACTTTGCCATTTATCTGTTGATTATATTGTTCATTTTTACATTTTTTCTGATATATTTGTGTGTTGGTACGGTTCTAATGACTGCCATCACACTGGCATGCAAGTTAGCAAGTTGTGTGCTGTTTTCATGGAACAGGCATCATTAACAGAGATGCAGGCGTTCTTACTTGTCATCTTAAGTTCTCCATTGGGTGGAAACACATGAACTCATTCATTAATTTGTCAGTTTACTTCATAAAACTTCATGAACCATAGGTTTGTGTAGTCGGTGAGTGCGAGAAAACTGTTTAAATAAGATTTTTTTTTGCATGCCTTATCTCAACAATGATTATAATCCTACTGATGCTGTTCAGTTATTCTGTGAACAGGTTCGTCAGTGTCTAGGACAGAGTTCTGTGGAGGATTCTTGTTCCGTCAGGGTTAGAATTAATTCCAGCAAAGCAATGACAATGTATCCTGAGATAGACCCAGAACTAGTTTTTCCTCTTTTTGGAGGATGCATTCCTCTCTCTTTAAAGAACAGAAAAAAATGAGGGAGCAGGATATGCCGTCTTCCTTCTCATAGACTTGTACTGTATTTTCAGAAAACTAAGGAGGGGCATAAGCGTGTTTTAACACGCAGGCATTCTTGTGCACTCTCCTATGAATGTGATTGTGCAGAGGATAGTCCATGAATTCTGACTGCAAACAATGCAGGGAATACTACAGGGAATGTAATACACAATTTGTGTGATGCCTTACCTGTGAAATGGGAACAAGGGAGTAAGAAACAAGCAAGGTGGGGAGAAATTTTATAGTTTATATACTTTACTGTTGATTGAGCTGAATAAGCACAAATAAAAACATTGCAGTGTCGTCATTAATTCTTTACCAAACTTACAATTTAATGTAATTTTATTTTAGAGATAGAGTGATTGGTCTGATGATGACGGCTTGTGATTTGTGTTCTGTAACAAAGCTGTGGCCAGTTACCAGACTGACGGCCAATGATATATATGCAGAGTTCTGGGCTGAGGTATGTGTGTTTCTTTTGTTTAATCTCTTTCCTTTATAAATGAAAGTATCCAGGAAGAAATAAACAACCATAAGTATTATTCAATCAATATCTTAATGTGCTTGTTGTAAAGAGCGTTCATTGGTGCATGCACGTGTTTTGTTGTTTACTCTGGAGCTATTTAAATAGCAAAGTTAGCATCCTAATTTTCAGGAAGTAGTTTTTCTCTCTGTTAAACGTGAATTAATATAAAAGTCCTAACATAAGGTGACAGAGCAACAGACCACAGAAGAAAATTTGTAAGGTTTTTGCGTCACTAACTATAGTTTTATGAAGGATCTATTTGTGTTCTAGAAATCCAAAATAGGAAACCAACTTCCAGGTCAGCTTCCTTGAAACACACTTATACAGCTGTAGTATGAGTCCAGGAAATGCTAAAGCAAACGTTAAAGTTGTTCTGATCTGACCATTTGAGTGTTCTTTGTGAGCCAGCTCAACAACTGGGTCTCAGAGAGAGCTGATTCTTTAATAGACTGAAAGTTACTCCCCAGATAAGATGTACTAAGAATTGAAACAAGGCATTGATCTGTGCTAATGTAATCATGTTCATAAATAAAGATACTATCTCTCATGTGTCTTACACTGAGTAAATGTCCTAATAATTTAATTTTTTTAAGTGGAAGTGACTGCTTTAGCGATAAGGAATAAATTATGAGGGTGTTGCTCAGAGTTGAATTATGCAGTTTTAGAAGATACGCTGTATTTTCAGAACTGCTATTGAACATATGTATCATAAAGTGTTGTTCTTTTCTGTTATGTGCCCTGTGGAAGTCTGCAGAATTCAGTGGGCTGATTTCTGTTTTTACACAGGTAGGAAATGGAAATCAGGCCCACAGAGTTGGTGTAGCATGTATATAGCGTGCAGATTGTTGGCCTGCCTGTTGCATGTTTATTATGAAACTGAAGATGTGCATGGCTTCCGGGTGTTTTTTGCATTTACATGTTCTTGTTCTCTTAATTATGAACAGCTCAGACCACAATAAAATATTCAAAAACTGCAAACTGTGTAAGCTCAAAGATCTAGTTCTGTACTCACTTTCTAAAATGAGAGCACTGGAAAATGGGTGTTCTTATGAGTGGTATAATGTTGATGTGCCTCACTGTAACTTTTTTGCTTACAAGTAAAAAAACATTTTCATGCAAATCTTGTGAACTTAGTGGAGAAGTAAGGATCAAATTGATTTTTCCTGCTCAACAGCAGTAAAGATAGAATTATGGACATAACTGAGCCTGGCCAGACTTTAACCTGTTTTGTAATCCAAGAATGAGTTAATGAAGGTGGATCTAGTTATGTTGCTACTCCACACAACAAATGTAAATTAGAAGTTATTGACAGAAATTGAATCCTGTAATTGGTGTTTTACTGACTGATCTTTAAAAATGGGTTAAGTGATATGTGGCAGAGGTTGGGTATGTTGTGATCCATCAGGATAGCTGACATATCCAGCCACAGGTCTAAATGCTGCTAGAAATTGGAAAGCTGGAGGCAGATACAGAGAAAATCTTGGAAAGCGAAACCAATAGAAAGTTTAGATGTGTTTCACTGCGGAAATTGTTACTTAATTGGGAAAAAAGGTAAACTGCAGAAAAGTATATTTGACTAGACTAGGTTATGTTAGAGTTCTTAAAAGTAGGTTAGAATGTTGCTTTTAATTACTACTTGAGTTCATAATCTTAGTATGTTGAATAATTTAATCAGAAATTTTTTATAATATTTCTTCTTTGTGTAAACATTAACTAAAACTGTAACTGCAGAAGGGGTTGTGGCAGTTTTGGTGGTATGTCACACTGATCTTTTTTCACTGAATGAAGCCTGGTATAGCTAATGTTTTCAGCTAAGATCTACCTTGATATCACTTTATCATGAAGCTTTCCCTCAGTGCTACAACTCTAGCAAAATAATACGTTTGCTCATCAATTCTATAGGATTACAAGCTTGTATAAGATTTGTCTGCTGTGATTTTTTGTGAGATATGAAGCACTCAGCAGTTGTTAAACCCTTTCTGCAGTATTTTTTAAGAGACTTATTAGAAACCACTTATTATAGTAATATTGCAAGTATGATACAGGCTTCTTGGCTTAAATTTCAACTCTAACTTTCTGATCATGATCATAACTATGAGGATAAAAGCAGTATTTTTTACAAGTGTGTATCGTACATTTGTTCACGCATACTGAACACATGAAAACATGCATTCCAACTAAATCTAATATTTTTTTACTGTGAGGGTGGTCAACCACTGGCACAGGTTGCCCAGAGATGTTGTGGAGTATCCATCATTGGAGATACTTAAAACCTGACTGGACACAGTCCTGTGTCACCTGCTTTAGCTGATCCTGCAGGGGCAGCTGTGTGGGATTGGATTTGATGATCCCAAGAGGTCCCTTCCAACCCAAAACCAGTCTGTGATTCTGACATACCTTTTTCTTTTAAAGTGATACGGTCAAGATAAACCTTGAGCTTTGCTCAACTTTGGCATAATCAGTCAGAGGCCAGACAGCTTCCTCAAAGCTCTGACTTCAGGTGTTTCTCAGGCACTTGATATTATGTTAATCGAAGAACTTAAAATGACATGTTGCTAAATGGCTTAGTGTTGAGGTTCTTATCACTGAGACTATTGTAGCTGCAGACAGTCCTGGATCAATCAATTGTCCTTCAAGCAAATGGAAAATAATTAGATACTATTTACTGGGGGCACATGAAAAAGATTTGCTTACAGTTCCTAAATAACGATCCACTGAACTTCTGTGCTGGGAATTGTTACAGGCACCTTTTTTATCAGCTGAGGAAGGGGGCATTTCCTTTTGTTTCTTTCAGCAGTCAGATGCGTAGCAGAGATTATATTTGATCATTCGATGATTCTAAGCTCTACTTGGAAAAAGAAATATGTGATATGAGAGAACAGTACAGACACTAATTCAAAAATAGCTTCTGAGTACACCTCCTGTTGGTTAATTGAGCAGTATCATAGTTAATAGGTGATGTTGAGGCCAAATATGCAAGAAGGAGTTGACTTCCAGAAGCCCCCATCTTTTTTACACTCAGGATAGTTGAAAGACAGTCAAATAGAAAGATGCTCTGCTCAGACAAAAGCAATTTATTATATTGCAAACTTCTCTTTGAGTAAAGGTGCCAAAATCCACCCTTGGAAGGGCATGTTGGCACTTGAAATTTGGCTTGTTATAATCTTACGAGAAAGGTATAATGAATTGTCTCCTGGAGATGCCTTCACTAACTAGCAAAAACATAGAACACACATTTCAGGAATGTTCCAAGCTTTAGATAGGTAAACCTCTATCAACTAATCTCACATTAAGGGACACAGATAAGCAAATATTGTATGAGTGGTTATCCTGCATAAACTTTCTCCCTAACTAAGGTGTATTTGGTCTGTCTGGGATGGAATTAATTTTCCTCATAGCAGCCCTCATTGTGCTGGCACTGGCTCTGTCAGACATAGGGAAAGCTTCTGGCATCTTCTCAAAGAAGTCACCCTTGTAGCCCCCTGGCTACCAGAACCTCACCATGCAAACCTAGTATGTAAGGTTAGCAGTTTGAAGGTCACATTGATTTTGGAATATCAGACATGAGCAGTAGCCAAAGGCAACCATTGTTTTTATGCCTTTATAACATCAAGATTAAACATCTGTGGTGTTTTGACAACACAGTTGAGGCATAAAGCTATTGGAAAACTTCAGTTTGTTACAGAAACTACTCAGCTATTTAAGGATTTTTAAGGAGTAATTGTGTTCAGACCCAGTATAGTCCTCAGAAATGTGCTTTGTCTGCTCTGCTGGTAGTGTGTAACACGTACAAGAGAGAACTTTCACCTTATATTACATATATCTGGTCTTTGGATATAGTGCATCTTAGCATTCCTCTTAGGAATGTAGAGGGATAATGTACGTAAAGAAGGTTGTTTGACAGGCGGCAGCTTCAAAACAGCATGGTCAAAAGGATTGGCTTGTTGACAAAGAGGGTGCATAGGTAAATTCATCTATTTTACTCAGCTTTTTCTTGTATGGGTGAATTGTGTTCTATTGGTCATTGTTTGATAGTGCTTTAAACAAGTAGTGTCTTGAAAGACGAAGCTTAATGATGGATAGAATAGAATAGAATGAACTGATTTATTAGGGTTTATTCTCCCATTGCTTTTTATTATGGAGATGCCCTTGGAAGCAAGAAAAATGTGTGTACATTAACTCAAAACATTCTTTTTCAGGATCTGTTATTTACATTATCATTTAGGTGACTGTATAAAATGAGCCACTCCTTAGGCAATTTTCTGATTGCCTTAGACTGTTACCACACATTATTTTAAATTCTGGATTTTTAGATTGACAGTCAGTAGAAGATGGAAATTAATTCAGATCTCAGTAGTCTTGATCTTTCTTTTCCTAATCCCTCTCTCTGCTTTTCTCCAGGGTGATGAAATGAAGAAAACGGGTATTCAACCTATTCCTATGATGGACAGAGACAAGAAGGATGAAGTCCCTCAGGGTCAGGTATGAACTCTTCCAGTAAGAGGGTACATGTTTATAGTGTTAATAAAACATGTATGGAAGAACATTTAACATATTAGTGAATATAGCATTTGACATTAGGGTATATGGGCTGCTGAATTCTATGTTCTGCATACAAACCAGGGTTAGTGGTGGAAAAATTGTTTTCAAACATTTACTTAAATAGTAGTGTGCTCTTTGCTGTTACCACCTGTTCCATACTTTGTACTTGTAATTCCAGCTAAAACCACAGTCACCTACAATTAGGTGATTAGGAAACAATTAGAAGGGCCAAAGCCCGACTAGAACTTAACCTGGCCTCTGCCATAAAAGGCAATAAAATATGGTTCTATAAATACATTAACAACAGAA